CAATATGCTGACTCTCTGTAAACCGCTTAGAGAGGCCTGAAAGGCCTATGAAGCGGTATATAAGTCTACTGCTATTGCTATTGCTATTGCTAAACCAGTGTTCCTCAATCATGGAGACTTTAAGATATGTGGACTTCAATTCCCAGAATTCCCTATCCATCATGGGAGTGGAAGTCCACAAATAGCATTTTCATTATTTCTGGAGCGCTACAGGTTCCTCACCTTTGCTTAGGCTGTAAAGCAGAGATTGATCTTTGTTTTCAGGCCCTGGATTCTTTCCCCAAATTACCTGAAATCTTGTGAGATCTCTCATTTCAGGACTCTTTCCCATGGCTTAAACCTTACGAGGATTGGTGATGTTGTGTCATTATAGATATTTTAAAATCCTATTAAATAATTTAATTTGGAGGAATGACATTAGTACATTGCCAAGAGCAGATTTTCTAGGCTGGTATTGTTGGATGAGTTAAAATTGCAATTCCCCAAATTCCCAGCCAGTCATTCATGGTGATCCTGGGTAGGAATTTTGAATTGAACTTAAAAACAAAGATGGACAGCTTAGAATTCTCTAGAAATGTTGGTTTGGGACTTTTCCAATGGCATTTGTGTTTGCCTCTATTAGCTGATGGAACTGAGATCTCCAGGGGCTTGGAGACACCAAATTGTCTAATGCTAGTTGGAACATTTGTGGAGGGTGCAGGATTGGGGAAAGTTTCTATAGAGGAGGGAGAGAAAGAAAAAAGAATACACAAGCCTTTTCTATGGAGCTTGGATTTCATTCACATCCCCCACACAATTATTAGTACCGAAGAAATTCAACTACCAGTGACATTTGGCAAGGATATAAAATGTCAAGGTTTATTCCGGAGCATTAGGACATCTGTATTCTCAGCATTATGGAATCATGGCCAGCCTGGGTTGTGTGTGCAAACAAATGACATGTACCTCATGAAGTATATATCATATTTTTCGGAGTATAAGGTGCACCTTCCCCCCCCCTAAAAGAACTTGGAAATGTTGGTGCATCTTATACACTGAATACAGCCATTTTGGGCCTCCTGCAGCCCTGCCCCCCCATCCGATTTTTGCAAAAAAAAACAACGGGCCTTATTTAGCAAAAACATAGGCTTTTTTGCCTTCCCTCAGCCCCCAGCAGCACTCTGCAGGCTTCAGCAGAGCTGGGGCAAGGAAAAATGGGGGCTGGGGCAAGGCAAAAACGGGGGCATTTTTGCCTTGCTCCAGACCTGCTGAAGCCTGCAGAGTGCTGCTTGGGGCTGAGGGAAGGCAAAAACTTTTTTTCTTACTTACCTCTTTGAAATCTTGGTGTGTCTTATACACCGGTGCGTCTTATAGTCCGAAAAATATGGTATATTTGTAACAGATATCACAATATAGATTACATAATTAGGTTATTTGCACAATATCATGCTATACATACTGTGCTTTTGATGTTATTTCGACTTGTAATAATGCCTATGAAAATACTGCTTGCTCCTGAATGCAACACAACTTATGTTTCGGACTTGTCCCGAACTGGTTGTTTATCAAAAAAAGAGCCTTGGGCTGCATAAGTAGTGAAAGGATTAACTTTACTAAAGCCAAGTGGTTACAAGATAGAAAAAGGCAGATCTGAGCCTTGAGTGTGAAAACTGCGTACCAACTTTCCCCCTTTCCAGGTCCCCACCCCCCTGCAACTATTCCCTAGTGTCCAATTAAATTAAAAACAAATTGTTTTGGTAATGTTTTTGACATTTGATGAGCTCAGTCCTGTTCTGTATTGCATTCCCATGATTGTGACCTTAGGGTCGGTTGGCCAATCTCTCTGGTATCAGCGAAGCAGCAATGAGGCGAAGCAGGGTGGCAGCACTGACATTATGTTTCCTTATGTTGCTGTGCGTTGTTCAAAAACTAACAGGCATTAACATTACACAAATGCATTTATTAAAACCTTCTTGTAAGTTCAGACAATAGGCTCGCCCATGTTTTGTTTAATAGGGACTTATTGCAGGGGTGAAATCCAGCAGGTTCTGACAGGTTCTAGAAAACAAGTAGCAGACATTTTGAGTAGTTCAGAGAACCGGCAAATATCACTTCTGACTGGCCCCAGAGTGGGGTGGGAATGGAGATTTTGCAATATCCTTCCCCTGGAGTGGGCTGGGAATAGGAATTTTGCAGTATCCTTCCCCTGCCACGCCCACCAAGCCACGCCCAGAGAACCGGCCATAAAACCTTTTCGAATTTCACTACTGGCTTATTGGTTAACCATAACTGACTGCGTTCATACAAAATAGTCAGCTTTGAAACATGCTTTAAAACTTACAGAGGTTGAGTTCACATGCTATATTAAATCAAACCCAAAGAAACTTTATTACAGCTTAAAATGACATACAAACACAGTAATCGTATCAATGTAACCTAGTTATCTAGACTTCAAATTGTTTGGTATGGCTGGTCACAGCCGACACGGTACAGTTGAAACAGTGGATGGATTGTCATGTGTTATTCTCTCCCACTAATTGTTGCTTCACTCCTATAGCCTCCAGTCCATCTCCAGAAAGACAGGATGCCACAAGACCCACAAGCAAAAATCCTTTGACCTGGACTGTTGATGACGTGGTATGGTTCGTTAAAGATGCGGATCCTCATGCTTTAGGACCTCACGTGGAACTCTTCAGGAAACACGTACGTAGAAGGCTTTCTGCGATAAATGACAGGATCCAAATGTAACCTTCTAGCAAACTGCTTTGGTCTGTACTTGAACCAATGTAAATGTAAATTGAAAGGGACAGCTGACAAAAATTAGTCAAAGTGAGTCTTCCTCCAGGCAAATAGAATTAATCTAGGGCAGTGTTTGAAGATGGGTGAAGTTCAGCTCCCAGAATTCCCCAGCCAGCATGTGGAATTCTGGGAGTTGAAGTCCATGTATCTTCAGGTAGCCAAGATTGAGAAACACTGAATATGGATCTCAGGCACAACTTGATGGCACTCATATTTTAGAGAGCCTGAGGTGGGGCTTGGATGGATTCAGAGAGGATTTAAAGCTTGTTGTTAGTGCTACAGCTAAAGAGGGACCCCAGGGCCAGGCAGCCTGCCGCTGAGGGTCGATTGCAAGAGAACTGAATGGCAGAACCATCTTTTTGTGCACTCCCCAGAAATACCACTTCAGTCGTTATGGGAAAAAGTCTGCTGAAGAGCTAGCTGGGCTAATCTTGTTTGGCTTTATGTTTTCAGTCAGAAAAGTATCCAATAACTAGGATTGCTAGCATTTTTTTTGTAGAATAACAATATCCTTTGTAAGAAAGATGAGAATTCAAAGATACATTGGTTTTAAATCCTCTCCCCACCCTGGCACTCACTCACCTCCTGCTTATAATTCAGTCAGCTTCGCAGGGAAACCTACAAGAGGTCTAGTGGTTGATTAAAACTATCGCTGTATTCAGCTCAATTATGCCTTTGAATTACTCATTTCTGAGCAATTGTTAACGTTCGTAGCTAAACTGGATTAACAAGAAGACACCAGAGGTGAGAGACAAGTGATTACTCCATTAACCTTAACCACAGTTTTCAGCACGTTAAATCATTTTAAAATGTAGGTGCATCATTTAAACTGATGTCCCGAATGCCACTGACATTCCCAGCTCCTGTCTTCCCTTCCTTGCATTCAGCTAATTTGGCTGTGACATGCCACCACTGTCCAATGAGAAGAATTATTCGTTTGACTTGTCACAACAAAGAGAGATCAGCAATGTATATTCTGAAAACAACATCTGCGACATCAACGCTGTGTGTCTTAATTAAGGCATGCTTCATTACTCTTGGGATGGTTGATCTTCACCAGATCCTAAATCCCTTGCCAGCTGGGCTGATCTGGGCACTTTCAAGGGAGAAGTAGGACAATAAAAGGAAAGTTTGGGCAACAGGCTTCCTTTGGTCACAGCTTAGATTATGTAAACTCCATCCTTATTGTTTCTAAGCCAGGATTTATAGCTTAGTATATTGTGTAAACTCAATCGCTTGTGGTTTGTTCAACAAGCTGTATGTAAAGCAAATTGTGCTTGGGTGTGCAAACAGAGTTCACGGGTACAGTTAAAAATCGGGTTCTACCACAAAACTGCGGACGACAAAATAGCGGACGACGAAAGCGCGTCTGTGACGTCATCACAGCGCGACGGAAAAGATCGAAAAATGTAAAAATAAAGCGAAAACCTTACCCTAACCCCCCAAACCTAACCCTAAACCTAACCCTAAACCTAACCCTNTTCCTTTCTCCCTCCCTTCCTTCTCTACTTCCTTCCTTCCTAGTCTTCATCCCCTTCTTCTTCTACCAGATAATAGCTGGTTTTATTTTATTTATTTATCATATTTTTATAGTCATTCATCTCAGGTAGTGACTCTGGGTGATGGACATAATAAAACAATCCAAATATCTGAAACTGTCAATAAAAACAAAATGGTGAGATTTCATTACTGATAGAAGCATATGAGTTCTGGACAAAGTCCATGAGTCTCACACTTAAAACAATGTCAAAAAAAAATGGAACAGGATAATCACAAGTAGAATATGGGGATAGGATCAAAGCGGAGTTATGAAATAGATGCTTTGCGCGCATGATGCAGAATTTGGTATTTACTATTTTCAATCAACAACTTGGTAGCTAACAGCTTTTTTGTTTCATGTCACAAGAAATGGAAGCATTTATAGCTGACTTGCTTTTTTATTTCTTCTCCTATCCTATTAGCATCTTTCTTTTATATGTACTGATCTGGAATCACACAGGGTACAACAGAAAAAATAAATGCTAAAGCTTTACTTGGAAATCAAATAAGAAACGAGGGAAGTGACAAACTAACTGCAACAATGTAATAACTATAACATTAAAACAGAAATATAAATATGAAAAATACATTGTACATTTATCAGACAGAGATGGACACAAAAAGTAACATGGTAATAGCCCTATAAATAACACATGTCCACTTGGATTACCTTAGATGGACTATGAAAAGATCTCAGTCCCAATTGGGATGCCATAGCAAAAGATTGAATGAAGCTGTCATTTCATATATTATCTGAATTTCAACCTTATCTGGATGAAAATGACAGTGAAGTGATAAAGTGAAAATGATCTATACTGAATGCAAGTTCCTTGGAATTTAATTGCAAGAAGTTATGAAGTGGCAATAAAGCAAAATACGTATAAAAATCAACAGCTGAACTATTTTAAATGTTACTGCTTTTTTATATATGTTGAAGGTGTAGAATTGCACATCCACCAAACACTAAGAAAGATCCTATCAGAAGAAATTATAGGCTGTGTTCACACAAGGAAATCCATGGTTTAATTAACCATAGTTAACTATTCAACCTAATTGATTGGATTCACGTAACATACTATGCCACGATCTGCCACAATCATTTTAGGTTGGTATATCAACCACAGACATTAATAGATAGGCAAGCAGCAGCTCTTCAATTATTGCTGAATTAAAATGCTTCATCCTTACCCCCTGAATGCCTAAACCTGAATACCCCCTGAATGCCTAAGAGCCAAGGTGGCGCAGTGGTTAAATGCAGCACTGCAGGCTACTGCTAGATCAGCAGGTCAGCGGTTCAAATCTCACCGGCTCAGGGT